AAAGTCTTTATTTTTTGAGAACACTATCTGTGTCGTGCAATTGAGTTCATGCCTCAGAGTCTCTCCTTGACATGCAGTTTGCCCAATAAATGTTCACATCGATGACTCAGACATTGATTTGAAAATTATTTCACATGCACAAATCACTGTTGGGTAGTCACACGGCTCGATATTATAAACATAATTTCACGGATCGGCCTACAGTGGGAAAATGGTTGAATCTTGTGGAATACAGTAAAAATGTCAAATATAACAACTTTTCTTCTAGATGAAATGCTGACATTACAAAATGCATGGTTTGTGAGATCAAAAAAGGTGGTTTGAATGGCAGTCAATGAGGCATTTTTTGCCATGAAGGTGTCCAGAGGTAGTATCTAATACTACGTAAAAAATAATAATGCAGTCAAATCAATTTTGTTGCTAATCTTGACTCATCCAGGACTCTAATAACCACCAAAGTTCCATCCGCCTACTAATTATTATATTGAACATTATTCATTTTTAGTTTTTTTGTAATGAATAATGAAATAATTCAAATAATTAAACAGGCATTTAAAGGGTTAAAATCCTGAAAATTATTGAATGTTTGGTAGTTTTGAGTACGTTAGAAGTTGTTTAAGTGATTTATTAAAAAAAAAGTAGAAAAAGATATTGATGTATGATGATTTAATAGCAGTTGTTTGGGGCGTGTACATTTTTGCCACGAAGGTGTCCAGAGGTAGTATCTGACACTACGTCAAAAATAATAATGCAGTCAAATCAATTTTGTTGCTAATCTTTGACACATCCAAGACCAGGGGCGGCGCCAGGGGGGAGCTAGGGGGTGCTGAAGCACCCCCCAGGATTGCCAAAGCACCCCCTAAGCACCCCCAAGAAATATGTGTTTTTTTTTTTTTTCGAAAATTATTATTATTATTTTTATTAAATTAAATTAGAAATATTATTGATTACATCAAGTCATATGTGAAACAAACACATTTTTGACCAAAAACATAAAGCCAACACAGGTGATATGATTAGGCCAATGGTCAGCACCCATTCGATTTTTGACCTACCCATAGGCTAAATTACTTTGCGACACTTGATTGACTTCCTGTTAGCTAGAGCGCCAAATGATTTGCTAACAGCAAAGTGAAAAATTGATCGTTTTTTAGTCCTTAAACGACCACGTGTGGACACTCAATCAAAACCAACTGAAAGCGAGAGGGATTCTGCACATAATAGGCCTCGTGAGTACAAGTAGCTTACTTCTGGGTCTCTGTGTTTCATTCAAGCCCTGCTCTGTGTGTGTGTGTGTGTGTGTGTGTGTGTGTGGCACGAGCCATTTTGTGTGCGTGCGTGCGCGAGCGAGAGAGCTCGCCTCGCGCACCAGTATATCTACCGGAGATCGTTGTGGTTAGCATCTGGTGCTAGCTAGCCAAGCTAATGGATATAAGGAGCTTTTTCAACAACAAGGTGGAGGGAGAACTCTCTCCTGTCAGACGGAGAGTCTCAGGTAACCTCAACTCAGGTGAAGTAAAGGACTCTCTCAGTTTTTTTTGATAGTTAACTTTAGTCTAGTTATCTCAGTGGGTCTCAAACGGTTTGTTTTAAAAGGGGAGTGATTTGTAAAATATCTATAAAGAAATAGAAAATCTGTTGACAGTTCTGTTTCGTATGGGTGTTGAGATGTATCCATAGATCTCTTAATGTTGCTCTCAAAGTGCACCAGATTGATGCTTTTAACTTAAATATGTAACAAAAAATCTTCCCGGGGAAGCTAGCCCCCGGACCCCCCTAGAGGAGGTGAGGACCCTCCTAGAGGAGGTGAGGTCCGCTCCCCACTTGTAAAAATAGCACTTTACCCCTGCCTATATGCCGTGAGCTGATTATCGAGCCTTCATTGTAACAGTCGTGGGTGCACTGTGTGTGTGTGCGTGGGAAGTGTTGCAGTAGAAAATTCAACTGTAGCGCTGGTGCATTAATGGGAAACCCTAAATGTTTGAGCACCCTCTATGAAACGTCAAGCTACCCCACAGCACCCCCTAGAGAAAATCTCTGGTGCCGCCACTGTCCAAGACTCTAATAACCACCTAAGTTCTATCCCTCTACTAATTATTATATTGAAAACAATTCATTTTTTGTTTTTTTTGTCATAAATAATGAGATAATTCAAATAATGAAACAGGCATTTAAAGGGTTAAAATCCAGAACATTATTGAATGTTTGGTAGTTTTGAGTACGAAATAAGCTGTTTAAGTGATTAATGAAAAAAAAAGTAGAAAAGAATATTCATGTATGATGATTTAATAGCAGTTATTATGGGCGTGTACATTTTTGCCACGAAGGGGTCGAAAGGTTGAAAATTCGAGGAGGGCACAAGGGTTAAGACCTATGCAGATGTAGCTGGATTTCTAACAAACAATAACACATTGCTCACAGAGCCATGCTTTGCCTATTTCCTCTCTAATGATCACCTGACACACCCATCTGATGATGTCATCCTGATTCTGAAAGGGACCACGACTAGGCACAATAGCCACACAAAGAATAGCCCAGAAAATGCAAACAAGAGTCAACTTAGCTGTAACAGAACAATATTATATATATATATATATATATATAATATATATATGTATGAATGCTGTCCTTATACAAAACGTTATTCTAATGACGTTCACACTGTTTGCATTTGTGTACTGTACACAGCTTGTAAGTAAATGCTGTTTTCTCTCTCGCTCATCTAAGTATTCAAAAACATCTATCTTTGTCGTGTTTAGCCATTTAAGGAACATGCATTCAACTACACCAATTATAATTCCTGTACATTCTGGGTTTGTTTCAGGAGCAGCATTGAGTATAGGGACCACCAGATATGTTATGAAGAGGCTGTGAAAAGTTGCCAGAACCAAGTCACTCACTCGGTCAGAAACACTTAATGGAGGGTGTGTTAAAATGCTGTGTAGAGCTGAGCCGAGCTGATATGAAACAAACAGTTGTCTATGTTGCTGCAACCTCTTATTCTGTTGCCAAATGTTTTATTTTGAATTATTATCCTCAATCGCAACTTTCATTACACGCATGTTGCATCAGCTTCTCCTGCTTTCTATTACAAAACCACCATGATTTATTTAATCATTGTTTAACCAATATGTCATTGACATCCAAATATTTTTTCCAAGAAAGACCTGAAACCAGGGAACATTCAACGCAATAAACAGGTAATAAAAAATAGTTTTAGTAATTATAAAAACATCCAATATTAAAGCTTTAAATCTAAAGTGGAACCATACAGTATAACTCTTTTTTGAGAGCAGTTCGTAGCTAATTTAATTAAAAAAGGTGCATCAAACCAGGTCTGCCAACATGAATGTTTACATAAGGAAATAAATTAGGTTAGGTTACTGTATTGTGTAGTTACTTAAATTAAATGAGAAAAAAGGTGTGAAACTATAAGAGTCAAGCTTTATAAATGAACAAGATGAATGTTATTCTTAACCATTCATCAAAACCCGGGATACAGAGAACAATGCGTCTGAAATACATCATTTGTGACATAGCTTAATGCACTATAATACACAGGGTTTGACAGCTGAATTGTTTATAGGGATGCATGACCAACGAGAATATCTCCATAGTCAAGGAAGGCCATGAAGGCTCACTGCACAAGTTGGAAGAATGGTTGGAACATATACTTTAAAACTTTTTAAATAGATATCATTCAATTCTATAAGTCAAATGTTGCATGTAAATCTTGAATGACAGTCTACTGTCAAGAAACATTTAATCAAATGGACTCAGCAAGTGAATGGGCTCGAGAAGAGAAATATTGGTGCATTTTGACGTTTTCTTGGCAGGAAAGCCAGTGTCACTGGTGGAGATGCAGAACCGTGAATGTTCTGGTTTTGAAACTAGTCTGTTATGAGGCCCACATGGAAGAACGGGAACCCGATGTTCTTACCGGAGCGGTCCGAGATCAAATGTTCCTTGCAGTGTTTTGCTGCATGTCTTTCCTGGGATTATTAGGCTTTTGTTTTCACATAAAAGGAAAACGTCAAAAACATATTTTTAAAAAAACAATAACTGTGAGTAAGGAGTGATAATTGGAATGAATTCAAGGCAGATTTAATGAGTCAGGACCTGGACTGTAATGCCACACACGAGATCTGCAATAATCACTGGTGATTTTATGTTTTTAATGAACTTTTGTGGATTTATTGTATGGTCTAGTAGTGCAGTAGTGGTGGTATTTTTTTTCACCATTTATTATTCATTGTGCAGCCATTATTTTAACAAGCATGTGGTAATGTTTGAATCTGGTTTGTATCTTATAAATGCTTGCGCGGTTACTTTGACCTTATGTGAATTCCTAGTTTATAACCTTAAAATGGGACATGTTACTAAGACAAAAGGAACACACTGGTTGACTGCAAACATGTCAAATTAGCACTCTGGTTTTATGATTGTGACTTTAAGGATCTAATAAACCTTGGACAAAAGTTATTATCAGTGTTTTTTTTCAAGACTGATGGACTCATGTCGGAATATTTTATAGAGTAGATGTGTTTTGACATATAATGGCTGGGATCTAACTGCATTAAACAATATCAGTTGGAAATATATACAAACAGTATACATGTGTTGATATGAAAAGGCCAAGGCAAACATTTATTGCACAATATTGAGCGGCAAGCCTTGTTGATGAGTCACTTTCCCTGGTAAATAAGTCGATAACTGTTGAAGGGGTTACTATGTTAGACAGAAACCAGTTTTTATGGTTAGAGATCGTGTAACATTTTTACTGTATTGAGCAATAAGGATAAAGGCCCACATTTCCTCCAGAACAAGAGAAAAAACCCCTGCAGTGTCAGCTTACACTGTTCTCTCTTGTGACACCATCAGGTGTACTTTGAACAGGCTTGTGTTTGGTTCAAACATGCCTTGCACAGGATGGGCGGGGTAATGTGATGTGTCTTAGACCCTACAAGGTGTAGTCTCCTGTTATAATACGTGCTCAGGCAAAGAACGGACTTGAATGGAATCTTTTACCTCTAACACCAGAGAGACCGCACGCGAAAGGATTACTACTCTTTGGAAAATAACATATTTGTATTACATTTAGACCACAATGGAAGCAACCAGTGATACCACAAAAATCTTGGAGAAGGGTCCTGAATACCTTCGAAAACAAATGGAATTGGAGAGTGAGACAAAAGGAGGCATGAGTGCTGTGGAGAGGCTAGCTGCAAGCAAATTGAAATACGTCAAAAGCGAAAAGGTGGTCAACTCTACTCAGGCACCAGTGATCAGTATTGGATCCGCCTCTGTGAGTAGCACTGGGTCTTCTAAGCGGAGCTCGAACCGTGGTGGGAATCGTGTCACAGGGAGTAACTCCAGAGAGACTGCATGTGGTGTACAAATCACCAGCTCGCCAGGGCAGGTACGTCGGTCCAGCTCCAAAAAACGACCAGACTCTATTCTGCTCTACAGACAGAAATGTGATTTACTGAGAGGGTCAACATTGGACCGAAAACACCACATAACACGTAGGTTGCTGCAGAGCTCCGTGCGTACAAATGTTTTGTTACCTGAGGCCACAGATAAGGAGTGTGAAGCTAAGGGTGACAAGGAAACAATCACAACACCTGTGGGAACAGTAAAGGAATGCAGCTCATATGCAGAAACCTCTCTATCCCAGCGGAGGAGGAATGGACTAGCAGGGCAGCACAGCAAAGAAAACAGTGGGTCTGGGTCAAAGGTGACAGGTGGGGTTCGAAGAATTCTGCTGGTCTCCTAACGGTTCCTGAGGTTGAAAGGAGGTCTGGCAAAGGGGTCAGCCGTTCTCATTCTGATATCAGCTCCAGGTACTCCAAAAACTTTGCAGACTTTGATAATTTTTTCAAGTACTGTGGGCTTGGCAGTGATATTATTGACTCATTTGGGAAAGAGAACTTCTCTTCACGCTCAGCTGAAATTCAGATCAACATCCGGAGTTTTAGCACCTCTACGTCAGACGATGGTTTCTCCAGGAACAGCGACGGATTAATGGAAGAAGAGTTACATGAAAAGATAAGTCAAGGGACGTCAGTTATTGAGCGCAATGCAAGGATCATCAAATGGCTGTACAGCTGCAAGAATGCTATAGAGACTGGGCAAAAATTAAGAGACCTCGATTGAGATAAATGCTTAGTAGTTGGTGTGTTGTGTGAATGTGTGTCCATTTGTTGTTATCTTATATTTTTATGCATAAGGTCAGTGTGTGCCAATTTCAGCAAATGCTTCAGGGAGTAAAGATTTATCATGTTTTCTTCTGTTCAAACTTGCATAGAGCTAGCTGGTACATTAGTTGCACAGAAAGCCCCACATGGCACGCATATAAACACAAAACTATATTCAATATGAAAAAATGGTTTGTAGTTGGTCACATTCATGTGTTTAAGGTCAAAGCTATGGGCTTATGTGCAAACTAAAAGATGAAAACAATGCGACACAAATCCAGAAGTCTACATGGATTTAAATGTAGCTTCAATAAAAAACACTGGCTCAAAATACAAAAACACTCATCTCCACTGATACACATCATATTTTTCATTTCTTAAATTGAAATATATGAAAAATAATTTGGCCTAAATAAATCGTTACTTGATGTTTTGCATTGGTAAATACATAGTCAGTAACCTAACGTGAGTTAAAAGCTGCTAATGTTCGGTTGTCAGGTTGGAAACATCCCATTTAGCTGATGTTCTCCCTTTCTGTTGTTTTAAATGACTCTCAGATGTTGCTATAACCATTTAATCCATTACTAAATGCCAAATAATGTGTTAATTGATGGATTTTGGTCAAGTAATCATCATTCAATCACAATCTGGCAACTCAATGTTTTTAAATAACCGTTCTATAAAACATTAGTAATTGGTATATTATCCATTTAAAAGCATATTTAACATATATAAAAGGTCTTCTAAATGAAGGCTTGGAGATGGTACTGTTGAAATGATGTTCCTCTGCTGGGTCTTTAGGTCACGTGTGCCCTTAAATCATAATTTATGTAACCTGCTTCTTAAGATCATAATCCAATGAGTGCACTTACCATTTCTCTCCCGGTGAAAGATGTACATTCCTTCACACACACACACACACACACACACACCACACACACACACACACACACACACACACACACACACACACACACACACACACACACACACACACACACACACACACACACACACACACACACACACACACACACACACATACACATACACACTGCTGAAAACAATTTCATAACATTCATCTGCTACTTAGTAATTATTTATCTATTATCTAATATATCATTCCAATAACGTATAGACTCGTATTGCACTATTCAACTTTTCTTTCACTCACTTTAAAACAATTTTTTTTTTTTTTTTTTATTACTTTTTATATAGTATATTTTAATAATGGTTAATATTGTCTGCTTATCTGTATTATTGTGTTGCATTGTTGGAGAAGCCTGTGACCTAAGATTTTCAATGACATAATTACTCTGTAGCTATGTTAGTTTGACAATAAAGAACCTTGAACCTTGAACACACACACACACACACCACACCACACAACACATTTATGTTGATGTTGTTAGGATCAAGGATTTCTTGTTGACACAAACATCACTGGTAAATCATTAAATGTAACTGCAGCCAGACATAAAGGCTGGTAGTTTGTAGTTGTTTTCCATTAACAGACTTAAAGAGTTTGTCTGTGAGTTCTGTGTGAGAGGAATGTACCTAATAATAAGCTTTGTTTCTTTAACACTTTCCCTCTATTTCTGTCTTTAGCCCTTTTTTAAGCTGAGCAGAAGCAGTAACATACACTATTGTTAATTGTTAGTGTTAAACTGAGTTAATCCCCACTCTGTTTTTCTCTCACACACTCAGAAGCGAACAATAAGTAGGTGTAGAGCAGGGGTGTCAAACTCAAGGCCCGGATCCTATCCGATAATAATCCAATTCAGAGGCAATAATGTCATATAATACATTATTTTATATATGATATATTTATATATGTATATTTATATAGTTACCACCGGCCCTTTGAGTGCAACCATAATGCTAATGTGGCCCGCGATGAAATTGAGTTTGACACCCCTGGTGTAGAGTATATGTGGGTTGATACTGCTGCACCCATGTTGTAGACACGCCTTTACTTCTTCCAGGAGCCTGGCAGATTATTTCCCCTCAAGACAAGTCATGTCCTCTCTTCTTGTATGTTGCCAGAACGTAAAGCTACTGATTCAACGTTTCACATGTGGTTCAACCTACAGAAATGTACTGTGAGTGCGCAATGTGTGATGACTGACTGAAAATGAACACTGTGTGCATTCCTAGGCTTGCAAATGTCATCTTCTATCAGATCAAAAATACTTTATTGACCAGGGTGGGGCAGGTTGGGGGGGGATTGGTTTGTGTTACAGTGGCTCCATTTTAGACTATTATTGTGATTTTATTATGTTAAATTGTTGTTAGTACTATTCCAACACTAATGACTGGTGTTGCTGCTGCCTGTGTAACTTGTGTTTTATATTCAAGTACTGTATATTTTGCTACACAAATACAATTATTATTTTTCTTACAAGTAAACTGTTGATTGACTTTATACACAATCCTAAATATGCATATCAAAAAAGCGGATGAAAGGAATAAACAATACCATACTGCTTTGAGGTGTTTTTTAATGTAATATATTTGGCCAAAAGAGGGCAGCATTTGGAGCTACTTTTAGGAAGACAAATACAACTGCAGACTTTGTCCCTCAGATGAGCATAAATGTTGTGGACGTGAGATGTTTTACTTGTGCCATTACAATTATGATACAGTATTTGAATTGGGCTTGAATACTGTGAGTCTTGACTTACTTGAGAAGTGATAGGTGGAGAGTAATGACATGTAAAAACACAGGAACATACATATAAAGACAGTGCCAGTCAGGCCTCTGGCCTCACACCTTTAATATTCAAAGATGTGTTTTGTATACATAAAATAATCTGCATCGAGCATTCAATTGTGTCTGCTATGGCTTTACACCAACATTTAAGTAACCTGTCATATTTGAAAATGACAACTATCTCTTAAAATCCCAAAGCTAAGCCAACAAACGTTAGCTACTACTACTTAACCAACTACTACGGGCATAATAAAATGTGAGAATTAAACAGACTATGGTAAACCAACTCACAATAAAGTGTACAATGATAGGCTACTCCTGCATATGGACATCAGAGCAGAAAGTGCCCACAACAGAAGAAGGTACCCATATTAAATACCTGTAATACCTATGAGGTCTGAAATGTGGGACTGTTGCAAAAAATTCGATGAATATATCCTCATTACTCTCACAAAAGTCCAGTGGTTTGTTCCCATCCCCCATTTCAACATCAAAACATAAGTACATGTGCGCAGTCCTCTGTCACGTGCAGAAGAAAGCTCCAACAAAGCTGAATGTATACAACAAATTGAAAATGATTGACAGCACCATTCAGCCAATCAGCATCGCCATTCTGGGTAATACCGGAGTTTTGTCCAATCAGAGAGCACTAGGGGGGCGTGGACGAATTCCACACTGTGTTTACTTCCTTCAATATTTCCAACACGGCAGTCAGAGGACAAGAAGCAGAAGCTGAAGAGACAACAAATAAAGCAGTCGCTAAAGGTTTGTTTTGCCTTTTTGCAAAAATGTTCAGCTCTGTTATATTGTAGTTGAGATTATTGATGTTCTTCCTCTCGTAAATATACGCGTTGAACCGACTGACAGCTTGTCTTCCCATTGTTTTTGCGATAAACGACTTGGGCAGCGTTTGCTAATGCTGTTATTTTTTAAATACTCAAATTAAATGCGTGTTTTTCGTTGTCAGGTGTGTTTTTTAAGCAATTTGGCTTATTATGCCATTTTGCATACCAGTGTTTACCCTTATTTATCGTGATAACATACTAAATACTGTAGCATTTATAAATCCAATGGCACTCATGTTGGTAGTTGTTGTCAAGCTTCATATAAACCATAACAGGTGGTGGTAGACTGCAGAGTGATTATTTTTGCACGAATGACAGGCTTTAATAATAAGATTCTTTATTCAGCCACGGAATTATATGGTTCCAAGGGGCTCTTTTCTTTTCTTCTATTCCCAGGGATTGTGTCCATAGAGCTTTCTTCACACAGAACATTTTGCTAAACTAATTTGAACAAAAACACATTTTGCATATAATTTAAATATGGGAATTGAATGTGTGCAACATAAATATAATTTGGGAAAATTAATAATTGAACCCATAGAAATCAGAAAATAACAAAATATATGTTATGCAGTGACAACATTTCTCAATTAGGTACTACGTTTCTTTTTTCTTTGCTACCATAGACCTAGAGCATTAAGATACATTCTGCCTCTTCTTCTGTGTTTGAAGTTGCAGCAACCATCTCTGCTCACTTCCCCCCGGCTAAAATGCCTTACCTGGGCAAGGACTGGAGGTCACCTGGATGGAGCTGGAAAAAGACAGATGATGGCTGGAAAAGGATTATCTTCTATGGACATGAGTTGGAAGATGACAACAAAGAAATAGACTTGAAAGCGTAAGGTTCATTTTATATTCACATTTATTTGTGTTGGTATCATTACTCGCTCACCTTAGTCATCTATCTGGCCTTAATAACAGTGTCATACCTCAATGGTGATGGAGTCAGTCAGTGCTCTATCAGGTTACATACACATTTTACTGACTGCATAATATATGATTTGAAGATTAATTAGATCCTCAGTAAACAAATGCAACTTGATTTAAGTATAAAACTATTTTTTTCTCTAAAGTCCTCAGCACCCCGATGCTTTCAATGCACTGCCTAGAACGTAGTATACACATGGACATGGATTATTTACTTTTAGAGATATCATATCTTGATGATAAGACCATAATGAGTCAAATGTGCTGCCCTTCAAAGTAATGAGTCTGAGTCAAATGTAATTGAAAACTATTAAATTAGTGAGTTTTGTCTGATTTTATAACAGTAGAACACAGTTCTTTGGATACCAATTTGATTACAGAATGTAATATGTAATATATGTTAACATTATGATTTTAACCATGAAAGTAGGTAAAAAGTTTACAATTATTTCATTCTGATGACACAAAATATGCATAAGGAGTGCAACACTTTTCCTGACTTTCAAGTTTACTTCCACTGATGAGCACCTTGATCATAACCCATGGTGCGGGTTACTTCTTGAGTCGTTTTTTTATTTTATTGATTTTAACAAAATCATCCAGCCCTCTGCTTTATAGTAATATGTCGCAGAGCCTCACATTTAGCTTTATTGAATGACACTAAGGACAACTGTACTGTCAAAAGAACTGAGCGGTATTCAGAGCACAGCATGTAATCAGATATAATCAAAGAAAGTATTTACTATTGTATTTATGTTAGAATATCATTGTACCCTCCCCTCCATCCATCCATCTTCTCCCGCTTATCCGTGGTCGGGTCGCGGGTGTAGCAGTTCCAACAGAGAGCCCCACACTTTATTTTCCCTGGCCACATCAACCAGCTCTGACTGGGGGATCCCAAGGCGCTCCCAGGCCAGCGAAGAGATATAATCCCTCCACCTGGTTCTAGGTCTACCCCTTGGTCTCTTCCCAGCTGGACGTGCCTGGAACACCTCCCTAGGGAGGCGCCCAGGTGGCATCCTAACTAGGTGCCCGAACCACCTCAACTGGCTCCTTTCGACGCGAAGGAGGAGCGGTTCAACTCCGAGTCCCTCCCGGATGACCGAACTTCTCACCTTATCCCTAAGGGAGACACCAGCCACCCTGCGGAGAAAACCCATCTCGACCGCTTGTATCCGCGATCTTGTTCTTTCGGTCATGAAATCCTTGATGACCATAGGTGAGGGTAGGAACGAAAATGGCCCGGTAGACAGAGAGCTTTGCCTTCTGGCTCAGCTCCCTTTTCGTCACAACGGTGCAGTAAAGCGACTGCAGTACCGCTCCCGCTGCTCCGATTCTCCGGCCCATCTCACGCTCCATTGTTCCCTCACTCGAGAACAAGACCCCGAGATACTTGAACTCCTTCACTTGGGGTAAGGACTCATTCACTACTTGGAGTGGACAGTCCATCGGTTTCCT